CCGAGATCTTTCACTTCTGAAACTCTATTTAAAGATGTATCATTCATGTTATAATTAAAAATAACAGGTTCCTTTTTACGACTAATTGACATTACATAACATTTTTTTATATTAAAATTTAATTTATTATTTAAACTCCATTGATATATTGTTTTGATATCTTTCTGGAGCGCTACACAGTCTCTAACTGTTTGGACTTTCTTAAACACCTTAAAATCATCTGCAAACATTAAACAATCAGAGAATTTAACAGAAGTTGGCAAATCATTGATAAATATTAAAAAAAGTAGTGGTCCAAGATTAGATCCTTGCGGGACTCCAGAATATGATTTTTTTTTTTTTTTGGACGAAATATTTCCATTGTATTTTACAACAAAGTGTCTATTTTTTAAGTAACTTTTGAGTAGCTCTAATAATTGTCCTGTAATACCTAAACTATTTAACTTTGCTAAAATAATATCATGATTAACTTGATCAAAGGCCTTACTGAAATCGGTGAAGATTACACCAAGTTCTAATTTTTCATTTAGAGATTTTGTGGCTTGATCCAAAAATATGAAAAGGTTTGTATTGATTGATTTCCCTTTAACAAAACCATGTTGTTCTTCTACTAAAATATTTTGAATATGTTTATATATTTTAATATAAATAATGTGTTCAAACAGTTTTGAAGCAGCACACAAAATAGCAACACCTCTATAATTTTCAATGTCCTTTTTACTTCCCGATTTATGTATTGGTATATATGTTGCTAATTTCCACTGTGTAGGATACGATGAGTTTTTAATAATTAAATTAAAAATATGCAATAAGGGTGTCTTTAACCACTCTTGACAGCCTTTTAAAATGTAAGGTGGTATTATATCACTACCAGCACTTTTTTTTGGTTTTAATCGCTTAACCGCTTCATCATAATCATCTGAATATATTGCATTTAAATGACATTGATTGTATTGATTTAAAGTAACGTTCACATGATCTAAATTATATACAGATTTTTCAGAGGAATGCACGGACATAAAATATTCCGCAAATTTTTCGGCAATATCTTTGTCAGGTACTTGACTACTTTCAAAGTAAAATGTTTGTGATTGACGTCCCTCATCTCTTTTTTTGTTGACATAATTCCAAAAATTGTTCACATCCGCAATTGTATTTTCCTCTATTTTCTTTAAATATTTCTTATGTTCTTTCCTTATTAATGATTTTAATTTTCTCCGAGTTTCAATGTACATATTATTAAAATAATCTGAAACATGTTTCATTTTGTAGTAATAATTCTTTTCTTTCAATAAATTAATAACATCAGCATTAAACCATACTGGAAATTTTTTATAATTCACATACGTTTTATATGGCGGATATTGGTATCTTGTATGTCATGTTACCTTAAGTCATATGTCAGATGTCAGAATTAAGAAAGAACACCCTAGAACGAATTCTGTTGCGTATTAGTTGACCCGAACCTAAGCTCCTAGATCCTCCATATAAAACATTAAATATTATAATAATTTATTAAAATAATAAAAAAAAACACATAATTACGGTCAAAATGTATACCAGTCTTATTCAGGAATAATTACTGTGCAAAATTCACCCAGTTGTTATGAATATTTTACTGTATACAAGGTATACAGTGTATTATGAAAACTACTGTTAACTCAAAAAGTTTAAAAATAGTTATTTATTAACACATACTTGTGAGAAAACTTATGTTAATTGGGGGAAAAATTAAATGTATCTAACACCGCAGAGTGTTTCTGTTGATGGAGTAAAGCTTCAGAGAAAAAAGAAATTAAATGTATGTATTGGAGTTGATAACAAAATTAAACAGAAATAATATTTTATTGATATTTATTTCTAGAGGTTACTCTAGATATCCATTCAGTGTGTATCCTGAAAATTTCATAGAACAGTTGTTGTGCGACTTTTTTACGCTACATGCCTCCCTTGGCGCAAAAAGAGCATCCTTTCGGCAGCAGGAAGAAGGATGCGCTTCGCAGGAGTGTGTCGTCACAGTCGCTTTTGATGCGTTGCGTCGTCGTCTCATATCCCATTCTTGTAACATTCCACACAGCCATTCCCGAAAAAGCCGGTTCTCCCCCTTTTCCAGCCAGCGTTGCCAATCGACGTGATGAGATGACAGCGCGATTTTCGCTCGAATTAGCACTGGAAAAGGCTTGATGTGGCGAATAACAAATTAATAATTTCCCACGGAAAATCTACAATCATGTTAAATAATTACAATATTAATAGTCTGATGCATTCCAGATTTGATGGTTTGTTATTTATTGTGTCCCATACACAAAAAAAGCGATCAAATATCACTATACATTATTATTAAGTAGGTTATGAAGTTATATAATGTTAGTTATTAATAAGTCAATGTAGAAATACAATTTGATAACGTGTAAACTTTGGGTTAGAAAAGTAAAACAGCATAAAATGTTATCTTCCTCTGAAAGACTGAGTTTTGTTTCCTATTTCAGACTATTAAACCTGCAATGATATATGACGATCTTGTATCTCAAGATATAATTAGATAATCATGGATAGATTTTGAGATGGTATAGCCCCCTAATCGCTAATCTTTTTATTTAAATGGCTATATAATTTTATTATTTGTATGGATATTGTGTCAAAAATATTTATAATATTGGATTTTATAGAAGGTGTAAAAAAAGGATAGGTACAAAGTCAGAAAAAATCGCAATAACAGAAGAAAAACAAATTCCAGAAGATATACCAATAGAATTATCAGGAGATCATGGAAATAAGAAAGAAGAAAATAATGAGACAATGAAAATGTTAGAACAAATAAAAAAAAAATGTGACACAAAATAGTTCATTGTCAAGATAAAATAAGAAATGACATAAACGAGAACATGAAGAAGAAAAGAATTAAAATAGAACTGAGTCAAGAATAAAGTAAGGACTGGACAGAATGGAAAGAAAATTTGAAGATATAGAGAAATTACAAAAAATAACTGAACAAAAATTAAATAATCAAGAAAAGAAACTAACGAAAAGAGAAAAGTAAATGAGAAATATGAATGGAAATATGAATGAAATCAGTAGAGATATATATACAGAGTGGCCCAAAAGTCTGGAAACGGCCAATTATCTCGTAAATTGCTAGTCCTAATTGTACAAAATTTGGGGTACACCTATTTTGGGATACGGTGATTCCAGATTTAATATTTACAATGTTGCCAGATTAAATAAATAAAATAAGTCTGGCAACGCCTAATTGTCTCAATCAATATTTTAATACAAACTATTTTCAACTACATTAAAACGTAACAATTGAAAGATTATAACATTTTTAACATAATGGTTACTTTATCAAGTGTTCAAAAGAGCTCCATTTATGAGTTGACAGTACCCTAATCGATGGTAGAATGCGTCTACCACATTTCTTCATGATTATTTTATTTATTTAAGACCTTCCAGACTACATAAAATCATAAGTGTTACATATGGTTGAACTCGCATTGAATAGGAGATTCAAATAAGGACTGAATATACAGGGTGATCAATTTGAAAAACCAAAGTGACTAATAATATCAGAGAAACGGCAAATCTGGCAACATTGTAAATATCAAATATGGAATCTCCGTATCCCAAAATAGGTGTACCCCAAATTTTGTACAATTAGGATTAGCAATTTACGAGATAATTGGCCGTTTCCAGACTTTTGGGCCACTCCGTATACAAAGAATAGAGGAAAATAGAAGAAGTAACATTATAATAGATAAAACTTAATCTTTCAATATCAAAATGGTTTTAAGAAGAAGAAAAAAAAAGAAATTGCCACATACTTGCACTAATAAAATAAATTTAACATTCTCGGTATTTTTTAGTGTTCTGGGCAAAAGAATTGACACTGTTGATTAATTATTGACCATTAATAGAAGAAAAAAATGGAATAAGAAGAAATTGTGTATAAATCTATGAAAAATATTTTAAAAAAGAAAACAATGATTTCAGTGATCGCCACTATAAAAAACTGGTGTGCCACAAGGTACTGTTTTGGAGCCTGTGTTGTTTAATTTATCTGTTAATGATTTATTTAATATATAGAGTATTAAAGGACATTATTAAATGTGTCGATGATACCGCAAACCTAGATAAGACAGATTCCTTACCTTTTAGTTGCAACGTTGCCGATTCTCTTCCGTCCTCCGAAATCCTGAGAATTCATTCATAGGAAACCTGCAATAAAAATGAAATATATAGGGGTATTGTAATAGATTTAAATGTAAATAAGATAGTTATGTAAAACTTGTAATAAAAAAACTGCAAATGATTTAATTTTAATTAAATCAACTTAAAAAAATATATTTTGACTAAGGTATGTAATTAAGAGTTTGGGGACGAGCTTTAAGGTTAAAGATGCATCTTAAACACCTACAAATACTACAAAAAGATTTTTAAAATGAATAACTGGAATTTTTTAGAATTGTTTCTAATAGTTTATATTTTGAAAAAAAAAAAAACGACTAGACGCAAACAACGATTTTGTTTTTACACAAACATCAAATATTATTTACAAATATTATTTATAATATACTACTTTAAAAACATGTGTATTGTAGGCAATAAAAAACTAGACAAAATAAAACTTTTAAATAAACAAAATAACAAAATAAATAAAAAAACTAGGAATAGAAAATGAGGTGTTTAAAACTTATCTACTAGATCTAGTAAAATTTCTTAAGTTTTTAAACAAAATTCATTTAAATCATTTGAGCCAACTTCCAAAATCTTCCAGAATCTTCCAAAATCTTCCAAAATCTTCCAAAATCTTCCAAAATCTTCCAGAATCTTCCAGAATCTTCCAGAATCTTCCAGAATCTTCCAGAATCTTCCAGAATCTTCCAGAATCTTCCAGAATCTTCCAGAATCTTCCAGAATCTTCCAGAATCTTCCAGAATCTTCCAGAATCTTCCAGAATCTTCCAGAATCTTCCAGAATCTTCCAGAATCTTCCAGAATCTTTCAGAATCTTTCAGAATCTTTCAGAATCTTCCAGAATCTTCCAGAATCTTCCAGAATCTTCCAGAATCTTCCAGAATCTTCCAGAATCTTCCAGAATCTTCCAGAATCTTCCAGAATCTTCGAGAATCTTTCAGAATCTTCCAGAATCTTCCAGAATCTTTCAGAATCTTTCAGAATCTTCCAGAATCTTCCAGAATCTTCCAGAATCTTCCAGAATCTTCCAGAATCTTCCAGAATCTTCCAGAATCTTCCAGAATCTTCCAGTATCTTCCAGAATCTTCCAGAATCTTCCAGAATCTTCCAGAATCTTCCAGAATCTTCCAGAATCTTCCAGAATCTTCCAGAATCTTCCAAAATCTTCCAGAATCTTCCAGAATCTTCCAGAATCTTCCAGAATCTTCCAGAATCTTCCAGAATCTTCCAGAATCTTCCAGAATCTTCTAGAATCTTCGAGAATCTTCGAGAATCTTCCAGAATCTTCCAGAATCTTCCAGAATCTCCCAGAATCTTCCAGAATCTCCCAAATCCTTAGAAAATCTTATAAAAAACATGATACAGATCTAAAGCTTTTTGATGAATTCCAAACTTTAAAGATTACACTATATTATTTATTTGGAACTACATTTTAATAGGTATTATCTCGGCGAATATACCAGAATATTTCTGCATATATATTTACAGAAACAAAAAGTTTATTGGTAACGAAATTATTTGTTGAAATATTTATCAGGAACAAAAATCTATTATACCTAAAAAAAATTAATTTAAAAACCACACCGCACCGATTAAAAATTTCGTTTCTTGTTATTTTTGTCTTTCTTTTAGCCTGTCAGCCATATTTATCTGTCCGCCCCGAATCAAAAATCAACATATTTCTATCCGCAGTCGCTCTATTATTAACATCTACGAAAACATCGAGCCAGTGAAGTGACACGATGGGTCTCTCTACCTCTACAAATAGGATCCATTTCTAATAAATTTTTCTGGCCTGGCCATATTTCTCAGAAAACAGAAGTTTATATGACATGTTTTGAGAGGCTGCTAACGGATGGGTCCTTGTAGAAACAGTTTTTAGGAATTTTTGAACGATTTACGACCGAATTTGATTAGGTTTCGACACTGGTAATTTATAATTAACCAAAATTGTTTTATTATTTAATTTTAGACAAAAATGTTTTAAAAACGTAGGTAAATGAGTTTTTTTGTTAATTTACAGGTATTTTTATTAAAATTTGAAAGACCAAATCAAGGTTAGCGATATATTTAGAAAAATAATTCTTCATAAACCATAATCGTCACCTTTTACATTTGCTCAATTTATACATAAATAAATATTTACCTGTTTTTCCAGCCCAACAATTTAGTGAGTAATGGGACTTCGTCCTAATACAGCTATTGTTATAAATATAAATTTTCATTGACAAGACGAGCTCTCTTAACTTTTTAATATTTGATGATGTAATACGGACCTCGGTGCCATGTTGGGCACCATTCAAAATAAATGTATCTTACCCTATTTGGACCCTTATTTTCTCGCTCTGACAAGTCAGAGAGGGATGAGGGATGTGCTATATCAATTTTTATTTACACAAGAATATTATCTGAATAAAATTCATGTTGATAAATACAGTGAATAAAACTAGAATGTTCAATTAAAAAACAATTGGACATCATCACCATAGGTATAATTTTTTTGAAAATGAAATATGTGGTCTGAGTGGTAGAAACAATGTAAATTTTTAGTATATCATTGATATAAACATTTTAACTATGAAATAATCCAATTTAAATATTTGATGATACTTTATTTCCTGGTACTAGATTGATTTTTTTTGGACACCTTCTTCATAGGTAATATATTGAAATGGGCAAAATGTTCACTTCAGGTGGTAGAAACAATATAAAATTTAGTATAGAATTTATTTTAAAGAAAATGTTGGCCACCATCTTCATAGGTACAATTGTATTACTGATAAAATTCGGACTCCAGGTGGTATGAAAGATGTAAATTTTAGTTTATCATTTATAAAAACGTGTAATTAACTATGAAGCTTCCAAAAAAGTATTTTTATATGTTTGATCAAAAAATTATCCTTTATATCCTACTATTATTGATTTTCTTTGGGACACCTTCTTCATAGATAATATTTGGAAATAGGCAAAACATTCACTTTAGGAAATAGAAACGATATAAAATTTAGTAAAAAATGGATTTAAAAAATTTGGAGATCACCTTCATAGGTTTAATCTTAATATTAATACATTTTGAGGTCCAGGTGATAGATAATACTAAAAATTCACTATAAAAAGGATTCTACAGGAAATCATGGACATAATCTTCATAAGTTGATTATAAAAGAACATTTTAAATAATCTATAGAAGCAGTACCAATCATTGACAGCCATATTGCGTAAATATTCGCTATTTCAGTAAGCATTCCCTATACCCTATTTTAAACGAAATTTTGGATATCATCTCCATAGGTTAAATGTTTATATTTATTAAATATGTGTACCAGGTGGTGGGAACCATGTTTCTTAACTGATCTTAACGGTAAATTTCATACACCAAGATTTAAAACACCATCATCATTTTTATAAAACATATTTTTAATTGAAAGAAAATATTATAATTGTCATTTGTATAACTGATTTAATAAAACATTTTGAATACTAACTTCTATGAAACAATATTTATGGATGCCAAATACTAAAGTTGGTGCAATATTTAGTATTACATTATAATTTGGGCATCATCTCCATAGGTAAAATATTGATATTGGCAAAATATGTGCACTATGTGGTAGAAACGATGTAAGCATTGGAAAAATGTTAAATTTATAGTGAATTTTGGACACCGTCTCCATAGCTTAAATATTTATATCCACAAAATATGTGCAATATGTGAAAACGAAGCAAACTTTAGGAAATAACTAAATTTAACAGAATTTACATACATAGGTCAAAATTTTAAAATTACAAAATATGATTAATTTAACAGTAAAAAAAAATGTTAGTCACTCTCTTTAATACTGATAAAAGTCGAACTCCAAGTAAAATGAAAGAAGTAAATTATTGTTTATCATTAATGTAAACGTATAATTAACTAAAAAGCAATCCCAAAAAGTGTATGATTATGTTTATACAAAAAAATTACCATTTATATCCTAGTGTAATATTGATTTTTTTTTGGACACCTTCTTCACAGGTAATATTTAGAAATTGGCAAAATGTTCACTTCAGATGATAGAAACTATATAAAATTTTAATATAGAATTAATTTTAAAGAAAAATTTGGTCATCATCTTCATAGGTATAATTGTATTACTGATAAAATTCTTAATCCAGGTGGTATGAAAGATGTAAATTTTAGTTTGTCATTGATAAAAACGTGTGATTAACTATAAAGCTTCCCAAAAAAGTATTTTTTTATGTTTGACCAAAAAATTATCCTTTATATCCTACTTTTATTGATTTTCTTTGGGACACCTTCTTCATAAATAATATTTGGAGAAAGGAAAAACATTTACTTCAGGAGGTAGAAACGATATACAATTTAGTAAAAGATTGATTTAAAAAATTTGGAAATCATCTTCATAGGTTTAATCTTAATATTAATAGATACATTTTAAAATCTAGGTGATAGATGATACCCAAAATTCAATATAAAATGGATTCTACAGAAAATCATGGACATAATCTTCATAAATTGAGTGTAAATGAACATTTTAGACAATCTGCAAAAGTGGTACCAATCATTGACAGCCATATTGCGTAAATGTTCGATATTTCAGTAATAATTCGCTATACTCTATTTTAAATGAAAATTTGGACATCATCTCCATAGGTTAGTTTTTTATATTCATAAAATATGTGTACCAGGTGGTGGAAACGATGTTTCTTACCTGATCTTAACGGTAAAATTCATTTAAAAAATTTGGAGATCATCTTCATAGGTTTAATCTTAATATTAATAAATTTTGAGGTTCAGGTGATAGATAATATCAAAAATTCACTATAAAATGGATTTTACAGGAAATCTTGAACATAATCTTCATAAGTCGATTGTAAAAGAACATATTAGATAATCTGCAGAAGTGGAAACGATGTTTCTTAACTGATCCTAACGGTAAAAGTCATACACCAAGATTTAAAAGGCTTTTTTCAAGAATTGTGTACAAGAACATTTTAAACACCATCATCATAATATTCAAGTTTTTATGAAACATTTTAAATTGAAAGGAAATATAATTGTGTTTAATATAATTGATTTTTTGAGTACTAACTTCTATGAAACAATTTTTATTGATACCATTACATTATAATTTGGACATCATCTCAATAGGTAAAATTTTTATATTGGCAAAATATTTGCACCAAGTGGTAAGAACGATGTAAGCATTGGAAAAATATTAAATTTATAGTGAATTTTGGACACCTTCTTCATAGCTTAAATTTTTATATTCACAAAATATGTGCACCAGGTGATGGAAACGAAGCAAACTTTAGGAAATTTAACACAATTTACATACATAGGTCAAAATATTAAAATTACAAAATATGATTAATTTAAAAGTAAATTTTGGACACCGTCTCCATACAAAAAGTATTTTTCTGTTTTTTATTTTTATTTCAATGTAATGTAAACAGCCTAACATGCAGCTGTCTGCGTTTCACGTTTCTTCTTACACAATCGACTTTAACAGTAAAAAAAGTAATTTTTTTTTAACTGATAGATACGGGCAGGTATCCGCATCGATTTTCGTGCCGAAGAAAATGCTAATTGGAATTTTCAAAGCGCTTTTTACGATATCAAAGCATAAGCTGACTAATGGTTCTATAGTCTTTTATTTATTAAGTGCTATTAAATGGTAAAAAAACCGGTTATGATTATTTTTTATTTTAAATATTAAGACGAATTGGTACAAAAGAAGTTTAATTCAATGGGCGGATTAAAAATAATGTGCTATCGCTTGGTTTCAAAGTTTTTAAAACTTAATGTATGATTTGTATCGCCGAATTCAGTTAAGTAATATCGATTATACCACCTGGTGCACATATTTTGTCAATATAAAAATTTAACCTATGGAGATGATGTTCAAAATTTCTTTTAAATTAATTTTTTTCCAATATAATTTTTTGACCTATGAGGATGGTGTCCAAAATTCAGTTTTAAATTATTATTATAATCATTTCTACTACCTGGTGCATACACTTTGTAATTTTAAAATTTTCACCTCTGTAGATTCTACAAAATTTTCTTTAAAATCAGTTTTTTCCCAAAGTTTACTTAGTATTTACCACCTGGTGAACACATTTTACCAATATAACATTTTTACCTATGAAGATGGTGTCCAAAATTCACTTTTAAATTAATATTTTTTAAAGCTTATATCGTTTCTACTACCTGGTGCATACATTTTAATATTTTAAAATTTTCACCTATGTAGATTGTGCAAAATTTTCTTCATAATCAGTCTTCTCCCAAAGTTTACTTAATTTCCACCATCAGGTGCACATATTCTGT